TTCAACAATACAACTGAAATTGAATGGGTGCATATTTTAAAATAAAAATAGCCTATTATTTGCAGTTCAGATGGATTACTTTACAAAAATTCTTATTCTTGTTCTTTTACTGTTCTTTTTTTAAAATGTATTCCCCTAAATTCATTTAAATCCTTTATTTATTTAGTTTCCTTAAATAAATACTATTACCATAGTGGTCTGGTCTTTATATTTTTCTCAAAACAATTGGTCCCGCCAATGTTCTAGACATGATTACAGCCTTGTTTGGTTTAAATAAAAAAGTTAGTTGAAAAGAGTCACCAGTGTAGAAACAATGATCCAGAGAAAGAGAACAAAGAGGGCTTTTTTTGCTATTCAATAAAGAAAAAAAAGTGTATTTTGCTGTGAAAGTGCATGATATTCTAGGCTGCCCATGAAAGCTTTTTTTCAGTGTACATATAATATAGCAATATGTACAGTATAAATATTTTCTAGACTATGTGATGATATGACGGCTAAAAAATGCCCACCCAGGATATCTGCCAGCCCACCCTTCTATAGCAGTCAAGAACCAGGCCTGACTTGATTTGTAACGTAAATCATTTAAACCTATGCCAACACAGGAGAATACATCAACATATTTCTAAATATGCGATTTATTGTACAGTGCGTTTTCAAAATAAAAGTTTCCAACTTTGCATGTGGCCAAATATTAAAATTAAATGGATTTAAACGTCGTTGAGTCACATAAAACAGCCCTCTGCAGGTATTTGTTATAATATAGGCACATTACATTATGTATTCAACAATGTTGTTCAATAAAACCATGTACTTGGTTTTGATACTTTATTTGAGGCCAATTATTATTGCCTCATCGTTACTTTATATATAAATATAGTCATATTAAAGCCTGTTTTTCACTTAGTTTTATTTGTATTACTAAAAAATTTCAGATTACTCGTCAAAATAATCAGTAGATTACTTGATTAGCAAAATAATCATTAGTTAAGCCCTAGATTAGGTAAAACATTTCAAAATACAAGTGCATTTTTTTACTTTTTGTGATTAAAAGACAAATATTTTGTCATTTGAAAATTTCTTAAAAGTATTAAAACATTGTCTCGTTCTAGTGAACCAAGTATCTGCATTTTGTCTCACCTTGTGAGCTAAGTGTATTGTCACACCCCTAGTGTCTATGTCCATAATTTTCCAAGTGTATGATATAGCTTTCATTTTTCAGGTCAATCATATATTCATGAAAAAAATCAGTTTGAATAACTTTGCCATAGTATCCTTTCAAATGTTAAATTTGCCACAACCATTGCATTCTTTGCATGTGATGCACTTTATTTGTACCATTTTGTTTTATTAGTTTATTTATTAGAATTTGAAAGATAATAACAATTTTTGTTGTTGTTATTTAAACTGAACTGTAGTTTTCTGTAGTAAACTGTCTTTGTATATATTTTATATTAATATTTTATATTAATTTCCTAGTATCTAATTTACCATTATTTCTTTTCAGCAAAGCAATTTAAAAAAATTCATGTTTTAGATTGTAGGTCATCTTGTACCCTGTCAAGGACAAAGCTAACCAGCAAAACTTGATATCAAAAGCATCCTAAATGTTACATGTGTTATATAACACACAATTAAAATTATGTATGCAAGTGTAGTATAAATTAAAACATTTTAATTATAAAATCAACCTAAAATATAAATATTAACCTAAAGTCTTGATGTTGAAAAAGTTCTTGCCCATGTTATTTGTCACCAACCCTTTTACATATTGCATTATTAAAAACCTGGACCTCAGAAGTGACCCGCTGAGAGTTCATACCTTCAGAGTTGACTTGTTTGACGGAGGGTGATCTGGAGCGGTTGCTGAGGGAGGGCTGTTTGTTGGTGTCAGAGCTGATGAAGGAGATGGCATCTTCTCCCTCAGCCGTGCCCATCAGAGACGTTCTGTAGTAAATCAGCGGCATCCAGCTCTCCTCTCTGTTGTTAATGACCTGCTCACCAGCAAACTTCTGCAAATAACTGTAGCTGGGGAAGAGACGACCAGTTTAAAGATGTTAAGATCCAAATTGCTAGATGTCAAGCTTGCAGAATTAATTTTGTTTTAACTTTAACTTACATAGTCTTCTTGTCAGGTTTGAGCAGTTTGCTGGAGAATTCGCTGAGGATGGTGAGGTATGAGATGTACGGCGGAGAGTGTTTCTCAGACTGCTGAACGAACCCTTTGAAAACAAACTCAATGCCGTCCCTGCACAGAGAAAGCAGTAAGAGATCATTTCCTTTTAAGACCTGAATATTCCTTCTCCTATCTATCTAAATTTGAATCCTAATATAAGACCAAAACTACAGCTGGCTGGAAAATGAATTTCTCAGGCCTGAAATAACCAAAGACAGGACTCTTCTGTACTGGCTAAATGAAGCCATGCGGTGCAGCATCTTGACAAAACAATTTTTATTTGCGGTCAAACATAGCAATCAGTCTGTTTTAGCTGTGTCACTATTCCAGACATGTGACGTGAACTCGCTGACACTGAGTCAGCAGCAAGAGTGGACTGCACTACCTGTGGATCATGGCCAGGGACTCGCGGGATTTGATCTGGTCCCATCCGAAGGTGAGTGAGAAGCGTCTGGCCAGCTCCTTGATGCTGCTGTAGGTCTGGACCCTGGAGCTGCAGGTGTTTCCTCTGTCCTGCTCCTGTTTCAGCCTCAGATACAGCTGAACACACACAGAAAATGTATGGAAGTCCATGCACATGACAGATTATAGAAAATCTGTCCTTATTTCTATTGCATTATTGATTATCATCTGTGATCACAAATATATTGCAGCTTAATTTTTCTCTGTCTAAAAGAGGGGAACTTTTGTATATATGCTATATATTAGCATATATACAAAATACATTGATTATATTTTTGTGGGGGTTATGATGGACATTCGCACTCAAACATAAGATATCTGATATATATATATATATATATACATAATGAAATAAACATGCTTTAATTGATAGTGCATATGCATAATTACATTAGTGTAAGATAAACATGACATGTCATATGATAA